TGCATCACCAGCTGCCGACGCTGGTCGAGAATCTTTCGCACTGAGGAGCCAGATTTGCTGGCAGAACCTGGCGTAGAGGCGGCGGCCACAGCTGCTGCTGCCGCTGCCGACACTGAAGTGCCACTTATTTCAGGATCTAAAGAAAAAAATTATATTAAAATCAGAAAACAAAAAACCTCAACTACAACTCTTACCGAGCGGAGTTCGCGGTGAACTGGGCAGACCAGCAGCGCTGTTGATGAGATCAAGCGGGAACTGTGCGAGGTGCGCTGCAGACACCGGAGATCGCAATGCCTGCTGAAGGGGCGTTCCCAACAGCTGACTACTGCTACCACCTCCAATCACAGAAGAAGAGGCAGAAGCGCCCATCGTTGAGGTGATCGCCTCGGTGATGTTAAAATTTGGCCCAAAGAAGGTGTTTGCCGAGCTGGCGCTGGAGGGACCGGCGCTGAGCAGGGCAGCTTCCGGTGTCTTCAGACCGGCTGCGGCAGCTGCAGCAGCAATCGCCGCCGGTGAGAGGCTGTCCGGTGGCGTGCGACTGTTGCCGCCACTTCCTCCGCCGTTTCCGCCGCCCGAAGCAGAAGTGCTGTTGACAATGGCCGAGGTGGCAGCGGCGGCCAGCGCCGCCAGGTGCTGCTTCCGCTGCTGTCGCTTCCGGTAAGAACTGACAAAGGCGGCGGTCATGCTCGGAGACAACTGCAAGGGCGTCGTGGGCGTCACCACGCTACTGGGCGCCACCATGGTGGTCGGGTCAAATTCAGGCAGCTGCTGAAAGTTCTCCTCAAAGTTGACCTCCTCGAGAATGCGGTCCATGGCGTCCTTGCGCTCGCGAGCGGCCGCTTCCGCTTCGGTCTCCGGGGCGGCCATGTTTGTGGTGAAGTTGTTAAAATGGTGATGGTGATTAGAGGAAGATGTGGGAGTTTTGGTGCTAAAGTCCACCACCACTGCTTCTTGCTCGTCTTTGGTGGCAGTGGAAGTTGACTCCGAAGTTTCCTTCTTTGAGTCTCCATCCTTTTTTTCCTCTGCCTCCTTTTCCTCTTCAGCAGGCTCTGAAGTGTCAATCACCAGCTCACCGAAACCAGTCTCCGCCGGGTCAAAAGTGGAGGTCTTCTCCTCTTCAGCTTTAGCTTCAACTTCAGCTGTTGTCTTTAAAATCGCCGACACTTCAGAGACAATGGACTTTGCCTCCGAGGTGGTGGGCGTGTTGGCCGCTGATGTGGGCACCGAGGTCCCCTCTGAAGAGGA